ATGGTGTTAGTTGCTTCACTGAAGAAAATTTATTTCTCATCTCAGAGTAACAAACTGCAAAGTGCCAGAACAAACTTTAATCATCTTAACCAGTGACCTAGCTGATAGAATTATCAAGGTACCAGCTTAACATAGATGATGGGAGATCCTTAGCCAGGCTTTCTAACCTTTGCTTTAAAAAATTAAAAGTGAAAACAAGATTTCACCCCCAAAAGAAGATATTACTCAAAACAGAGAATGCAGTGTAAAAGTTACAAATTAGTTACTCATGGGAGACTTGGACATGAATCCACAAAAACTCTTTAGATAAGGTAAGGCCGCTGCTCATATGTATCTTGAGATGTTCATGGCCCATTCTCTAAATGTCTATTATATTTCAATTTTAACCATTTTAATTTTTTTTAAAAAAGACTGTGGCTGTGGATTCAGATTTGGAAATATCCAGAATTCATCAAATAATGCTATATTTGGAAAATTCTGAATATATCTGAATTTGATAGTTCTGAATATCTGTAATAATAATTCCTAATATTTGCAGTCCCATTTGCTCCTTAAAATTAGAAAACAAAAGACTAAGTTTCTGCTTATGAGAGGAGGAACTGATAGTGAAACCTATTTCTCAGACATCCTGGAGTGATTTATTGAGAAATAAAACATAAAGACATTATGGCACCAGAGTAGTGGAGGCAGAGAACTCAGTGCCTCCTGACTGTGGTTGACTGTAAATGTTGTCTATTTGCACCAATGAAGTCTAGAAGCAGGCACAGAGACCAGAAGGTATTTCTCACACTGTTTTTTTTTTTTAATTGAAAGGTGGGCATAGTTGCTTATAAAATCCCTGAGCATTTGCTGTTACGATATGCTCTGCGGCAAGCCTGTACTGCAGCAGTTTTCACTGTGTCTTTTTCTGAACCATCAACTTACATTTACATTCTCGACGTCTTCTTGTATATTCTTTACTTAATATAGATAGGAATAAGATTTAGAATTAGTAGATTCATAAACTAATACATTATGAAATAACAAGGAAATATTATATTAGGTTTAGACTGTTACGATATGCTCTGCGGCAAGCCTGTACTGCAGCAGTTTTCACTGTGTCTTTTTCTGAACCATCAACTTACATTTACATTCTCGACGTCTTCTTGTATATTCTTTACTTAATATAGATAGGAATAAGATTTAGAATTAGTAGATTCATAAACTAATACATTATGAAATAACAAGGAAATATTATATTAGGTTTAGACCTCTTAAGGTAAAGGTTCCCCTTGACAATTTGTCCAGTTGCGTCCGACTCTAGGGCACAGTGCTCTTCCCTGTTTCCAAGCTGTAGAGTCAGTGTTTGTCCGAAGACAGTTTCCGTGGTCACGTGGCTAGCGTGAGTAGACACGGAACGCTGTTACTTTCCCACCAAGGTGGTACCTATTTATCTACTCACATTTTGCATGCTTTCAAACTGCTAGGTTGGCAGGAGCTGGGACAAGCGACGGGAGCTCACTCTGTCATATGGATTCAATCTTACGACTGCAGGTCTTCTGATCTTGCAGCACAGAGGCTCCTGCGGTTTAGCCTGCAGCGCCACCACATCCCTTTTAGACCCCTTAGACAGGGAAATAAGATTTTGTTATATATAGGGAGATAATTTAATAGATTTTGTGTCTGTGTGTGTGCATGTGTGATTTTCATTAGAAAGTCTTGTATTCTGCTGTAGCAGAATTATGGTATCATGGAAGTAGTGCCATATATTTTACGTAAGCACATTAAACATGATTCTACAAGCAAAATCAAAAGATCGGGGTCCAAACAATAAATTATAATTATGAAACTGGACCTCAGATCAGCAGCAAATTTGGCACAGATGTAACAGAAAGTGTGCTTGCTCTGTGCCAGATTTAGCGATGTTTGGGCAAACGTTTTTTGAGTTGTGATTTTTTTAAAAACAAACAAACCACTGTTTTGCCCCAGAAGCAAGTGTCCATTTTGTCAGCAAATAGAAAAGAGATGAAAAATATAGAGAAGACAAAATTTGCATTCCTAGAGGGAGAAAACCCTCCATTTTAACCTTTTTTTCTTCATCCATGTGAACTGGGGCAATCCTGGCTCTAATTCAGAAACTTTAATTACTGCTTTTTACTCTCTAAAACTTCTGAAATCCTTGCCTTAAAAAAAAACTTCTGAGAATTCCAAAGGACCTATTTGCATAGCACAGCATTCTGCCCAATTAGAATGTGCCTCTAGTCACCCCACAGGGCATGTGTCTGTCATTTTAAACTCTGCCACAGTCTGCCACAGTCTTCAGTGTGAAAGAAAGCATTTAACTCCTTCCTGGTCACACGTTCTTAGCCCTGCCTGTGGAAATATTTAGAAGCTATTTTTGAAAAATAGATAATAATATACAGCAGCTCACTCATTTAAACTGTGAAATTCCTGTTTTTTTCCTGTTATATCTTTGAATGATCACAAAGAACATTTTACCCATTTTGCTCATGAGTACATTCACCCAGTTTAAAGGTAAAGGTTCCCCTTGACAATTTGTCTTGTCGTGTCCAACTCTAGGGCGCGGTGCTCATCCCTGTCTCTAAGCTTTATAGCCAACATTTGTCCATAGACAGTTTCTGTGGTCACGTGGTCAGCGTGACTAGACACGGAATGCTGTTACCTTCCCACCAAAGTGGTACCTATTTATCTACTTGCATTTGCATGCTTTCAAACTGCTAGGTTGGCGGGAGCTGGGACAAGCGACGGGAGCTCACTCCGTCGCGTGGATTCTATTTTATGACTGCTGGTCTTCTGACCTTGCAGCACAGAGGTAAACTTCTGTGATTTAACTTCTGCGGTTTAACCCTCAGCGCCACCATGTCCCTCTTACCCAGTTTACTCATCGGTTTATGGATCCACATGATTTCATTACACATATGATTTCATATGAAGTTAATCACTTCTCACCCAAACACGAAGTAATTCTCAGGGCTGTTTTTCAACATGTGTGAATGGTAGTGAGCAGAAGAGGGAATCCTGCAGACCATCTTGATGCTGCCATTGGTGTTGCCAACATTTAAGCTGCCCTTTGCTATGTAAAGCTTGGCATCCTTTTTCCTGCTGGCAACGTGGGCACAATATTTTGCAGCAATATTGAGCCATTTCTTGGCTTTTTGAATTGTGGGCACAGAAGCACAATATCCCACATTCATAAAATAGAGGGTTTCTTTTTTAAAAAAGAAAAGAATATAGTCTTCTTTGGGTAGAGTTTGCAGCCAGTATGAAACATGGGTTTTGGTAGGAGTAGGCAGTTGGGGAAGGCTGCAGGAATGTCGCCTGCACTCACTGCAGGAGTTTCTACTGAGAGGAGTGAGAGAAGAAAAAGACAGCTTACAAGTGCTATTTATGAGCCCTCCAAACAGAATCTGTCACCCAGCTGCCTTATTCAGCACTGATGCTGACAGAGAAGCAGGTTGCAGAACAGGGCATGTGTGTAGAGATGGTAGAGAAGCCTCTGGTTCAAACTGAGTCAGATAGGAATGAACCTCAGGCATATTCCAGTGACGTCTTTGTGCCATCCAGCCAAAGCAGTCATGGCAAGGGGCCAAAAAAAAAGTTGGTGACGAAGGCCCTTTTTTCTCCCAAGGGCCTGCAAAGGACAAGGGCGGCATTAGCACTCAGACTGACACTGTCAGCTTGGGCAACAGAAATGCTGCTGTTTTTGTGGTTGGCAAAGAGCTTCATGAAGAACACCATAGCTCCATGTAGCTCCATCATATTAAAGGAAAGTGTTTATATACAACCTCCATTCACAGCAAATCTCTCCTGTGCAAAGCACCATTGTGGTGGGTGGGGGCTCCTCTTCTATTACAAAGACGTCTGACATGGGGGAAGAGGAGACTGAGGGGTTTTAGAGGTGTATAAAAATGTTAAAATATAAGACGCTGAAAACAATTTAAAATCAAGCAGTTGAAAAACAAAATTAAAACCATTTGTCAAAATGATGCTGGTTTGGTGCTAATCAAGGCTCCAAGCGGAGGGTATTCCACAGTTTGGGTGGCACTACACCTTTACTCCAATTAACCCATATTTATTTATCTCCTTATATCAAATGTTTTCTATATAGCTAATGCAGATTAAGGCAAGGAAAATTATAACAAAACAACAAATGCAGTCATTATAATACTATTATAAGATCACTAATCTAATGGTATCCTTTAGCTACTAGATCCAATTCTTCTTCTCTCTTGTGGCATCATGCACACACTATACGTTTTCAGAGGATTGGGGAACCCTCCAGAGAATATTTGGTGTGCTTACAGGGGACTGTTTCACGTGAAGAGAAAATAATGGAAGTCCACTTTCACAATTTTAGATTTAGCTCTCTAAAACAGCAATGAATTTAAGGTGTCCTGTTTCTCTTCCTAAACAAGTACAATTTCCCCAGGTAGTGTTTTACTGGAATGCTGTATGGGTGTCTCTTGTGCAGTTCCTAGCAAATATCAGCAGCTTTTTGAACCTTTTAAAAGATTGGTATTTTTAGTTCTTCTGTCTGCAACATTAATGCTATCAATAGCCCCTTTGCAGTACATACTGTAGATTTTCTATATATACATATTCACCCCTTTCATCTACACCTTCATCACAGAGTCAGGGACCAAGGAAAATGCCTTTGATGAAAATGAAAATGCCTTGGCACTTAAGGTTGAATCTTTCAGTAGGAGGTTCCTGGTGGGACCTTGGCCACATCTTTATTTTGTATTTGGATTTGTGAATCATCATGAACTACACGACAAGGTTAGTTTGAAGGTGAATAAGTGCATACATAATATTTTTTTACTTGCAAAATGAGGAAAGGAATAGTATAGATTGGTTAAACAGATTTTGAGGAGCAGGGCAACTATTGCTACAGGAACAGACCCTGAATAAGAAAAGAAGCTGATCAGGATGACACCTGTTTGACTGATCCTTTACTAGCACGTGCAGTTAAAGCCATTTCATGTGTTTTATCTTCACAGTGAAGATGTCTGCAAACGAGGTTTCACTGTCATCATTGATATGCGGGGGTCTAAATGGGACCTGATCAAGCCTCTCTTGAAGACCCTTCAGGAGGCCTTCCCTGCAGAAATTCATGTTGCCCTGATAATCAAGCCAGATAACTTCTGGCAGAAGCAGAAGACAAATTTTGGGAGTTCGAAGTTTATCTTTGAGGTAAGATTGTGAGTGTTCTGTAATTTATGAAGAGTTTTAATATGTCTGAAGACTATCAGCTCTGAAGAACTAGTGATGTACACCACCCAGAGTAGTGATTTTGTTAGGTGGGCAGTATAAAAATCAATCAATCAATCAATCAATCAATCAATCAATCAATCAATCAATCAATCAATCAGTCAACCAACCAACCAAACAAACAAACAAACACACACACACACACACACACACACAAAAACAAACAAAAACAAACAAACACACAAATACAAAATGAAGCCTCTTAAACGTATCTTTGCCAGACATTTTTCTTTTGTGAGGCTAAACCACAATACATTAATGCTACATAGTCTTAA